CACACCATAACACAATAAACACAGACAGCAACATGGGAAAGAGTTCCAGTGTGTACATCTGATCTGGGACCGCTACAATCTTTCGACTGCACCTCCAGCTGACCCGATGTCCACATCATGGGGGAGGTAAGCGTTGGAGGTGGCGTTGGATAGGGAGGGTGATGCGTCAGTGAGTGCTTATCAGTATCAGTATATGTATGTGTGTGCGTGTCCATAGTTCAGCTGAGACAGTGTCCTTCGCCCTGCCAGGCTAAGTAAACAGTCTTCCAGCCAACCCAGGTGGCCTTGTAGGGAATGGGAAGGTACAGACTCAACACAGTCGTTATCAGGGAGTTGTTGTTCGGCTTGAGCTGGCGCCGAAGGGGTAGCCGGGTTATGATGGTAATTGAGAATTTCAAGCTGTTTTTTAACACTCCGACACTGGTCTCTCAGTCCCCCATTAATAGCTGCGAGCTTCTCCGTGATGTTATTAGCCGTCGATTCTGTGGTCTTGTCACTCTTTTTGCTCACATAGCAGATTCTGAGACCTCACGACCGCAGCCAACTGATCCGAGGTGTAATCCAGCTCCGCCCAGAGATGTTGTTCTGAGTTGATTCTTTCCTGATATAATCCAACATACATACGCTCAAAGGTGTTATTCTGAGCATTCACTGCAGTCGTAAGCGTCTCCAAGCTCTTAACCATGCTGCCTTCAGTGAGCCCTTTCTGAGAAGTCGCACCTGTCGTCGTTCCAATCCCAGCGGGCAGCCTTGTGGGGGTTTGAACAGCTGGTTCCGCTCTCTTAATTCTCCGATAAGTCAGGGCCAAGCCAGCTCCGATCAGCAAGAACCCTGTTATCATGGTTCCGAATAGGTAGATATCTTCAGCGTCCTCGATCGACAGTCCCGCCAGGCACACGATCCTCTGCCACCCGTCCATCGTGTATCCGGCAGGGAAAGTCCCTCCAGGGCACTCAGGTTCTCCCGAGCCCAGACTTCGTTAAAGGGTGTCAATAGCATTCAGAGACCAGTTGATCAAATCCATAATTCTCTTTTAGGTTTTAGACACAGACTGTGAGAGAGTGTTCCAGGGAAAGTAATACAAAAAAGACACGAGACTAGACAAGGACATAAGAACTAGCAGGAAAGATAAGGGAGAGGAGAAAAGTGCGTCCGCCTCCTCCGAGAGCCGAAGAAATAATGTTCCTGCTCAAAACAACAACAAAAAATCTGTTAAAAGCAGTAAAATCCTGAAATCTGCAGTATAGTCAGTCACCGCTGATTATTTCTCAGTTGCAGTGAATAGAAAATAAACTGTAGGAAACTAAAAAGAAGAAAGAAGAAGAGAAATAACAATTTTACATAAACCAGGGCCTGACCAACCTCCTTGGATGAGGGTGTCTAGTGATATTGGCCGAAACACCTGATGAATCCAAGGTCCACTATTGATGATGTGTCCCAATTTAAAATGATAATCTAGATCAATCTCTAATCCCTAAACCTTACCAAGGAAGGAAAATGGCAGATAAGCCTGGGTAAAAGACCGAAAGTGTCATGGTGCTGGGTCGTTGACCCAGCATTTTGTGTTTATTATGATTATTTTCCTCTGTTCTAGTTATTCTGATTTTGGTATTCTGTGTCCCCCCCCCCTCCCCTTGTGTCCGGTTCGTGTTCTAGATTTCCTGTTTTATTCTGAAGGTCTCTGTCTGTTGTCATTGTGTTCAGCTTGTGTCCTTCATCATGTGTATTAGGATCAGCTGTTCTTCCCTCCTGTGTGTGATTACCCGATTACCTTGTGTGTGTATATTTAGTGGGTGTCGGTCTGTGTTCGTTGTCGGCTCGTCTGTGCTTCTTGGTGTCCTATTCGTTAGTCTGCGTCTCTCTGCCTTTCACCCCGTTTCCTGAGAATTTCAAATTTGCTCTTTAGTTTTTCCCAGTTTAGGTTTCCGTTAGTATCTCTCATGCTTCATTTCCAGTTTTTGTCGCCCTGCCACTCTGTAAATAAACGTCACTCTCATCACCAGTCGCTTGCTTGCATTTTGGGTCCTCGTTCATCCACTGCACGACTGCTACCCCAGCCGTGACAGAGAGTTGACACATAGAACGATGTGTGCTGCTGGCAAAGTTTCTGGGCTGCCTTTCCTCATAACAGCCATCCCTCAAGAGTCTCTCCATCTAAAGCAATCCATTATCAGGGACTGTAACATCTAGCCCTTTTAACTGAGAACTCTGGAGTGATTCAGTGACCACTGCGAAAGGGCAGCTGACAATCAGAGAAAGACCAGATGACAGCTTGGAAAGACTGCTGACAGGAGGGAACAGACCCTAACGGAGCTGGTGTAGGTAAGTGCCTCATACCAGCAGGACCCAGCACTTTTTAGCGAAGCTGGGTGCACCCATTATTGCTACAGAAATCTCAAAAGAGAAGATATCCCTAGGGTCTGCGAGAGCAGAGGGGGAAGAAGACCCTTTCTGGACAGATTTAATGGCAACTTCCAAAAAAAAAAAAAAAAAAAGATTTAATGGCAACGAACCACGGAACGGTACGGTACCAACGATGAATAGAACCAACCAGCTAATAATGGACCATCAATGATGGTAGGAAGGAAGTCGCAGAACTGCATTTGTGGCTGGTCAAAGTCCAGAGGCAGTCCAGAGGTTGAAGTCCAGAGGCAGGAGAATTCCCACAGTCCTCAGGGTATCAGCACCCCTTTCGAAGTTCATTGTCGTACAGACTCCCTCATAGACTCCAGATCAGGACTCAGTCAAATCCAGCCAGTAGCAGTTCCCAGTCAAGAGCTTAGCCAGCCACACTCAATATTAGATTCTATCTCAGGGCCCGGCCATTTAATATCAGCCCCTAGCTTGGAGCTTAGCCACCAACAGCTAGGAACACACTTGTGTATAGATGTAAGCCAGCCACAATCAACACTACGTTCCAGCCCAGAGCGCATCCAGAAACAGCCAACAGAATCTTCCAACACTCTAGCTACTAGCAAGGGAATGGAATATGGAAGGCAGGAAAGATCAGCTTCTGTGGCCCAGATCCAGAGAGAAAAATTTGACACTAAGCTAACCTAATCCGGGAGACTAGAAAACAAACGTGACAACCTTAAACATGAAAACCAGGCGAGGATGCATAGAAACTTGGAGACATGGTGTGAACAAAGACAATGCAGCAATGAATAACAGCAGACCTAAATACACATGAGGGTAACGAGGGAAAACAAAACACAGGGTTCATAGCTAGGATGAATGAACATAGTGACAAGAGTGACAAGAGAAAGCACACTGAACATGGGCTGCGAGTCACAATAAAAAATCAGACGTAAGAAGCACAGGCTTGACATAACATCAGGGAAACAAAATTGGAGATGGAAAACAGACATAAGAAACAAATACAGAGAACATGACAGTTAGGGAGAACAACCCGCCTGATAGAATCATACAAGGGGAAACATAATCAAGACGAGGCAAGAAACAGGGAGAGAGGAAGCAAGAGCAACACAAAGGCAGACAAAGTCATCACTGAGACAAGCAAAGGGCGATGGAGACTTAAACAGATAAAAAACATAGGGCGGAAACAGACACGGGAGGAACCTAACGAGACAACTAACTAAAGTTTAAACCACAGGAGTTAGGACAGAATCATACAAAAGGCATAAAAACTCAACCATGACACCATTCTGTTGACATCTGTTCAAAAACATATCATAATCAATTGTTTTTATTCTTTAAAAATATGCAATTATGTCCTTATTTACAACAATATCACCTATATTTGTCATGTTGTAAGAAACTGACAACAGCTATAATATATACAGAAATACCATGGACATCTGCCTGTCTACAGTTTATTTTTAAGTTGTGAAATGATAGTTCTGACATGGTATATTTGCTGGATTCGTAGCTAGCTAGAGCTCCTACTATAGATTGCCAGCATATGGCAAAGATTATAAACTTTAGTTAAGTACTGAACATTTTAGCAATGGACATTAGCCTAAATCTACATGACTAAATAGAACACATTTTACAGTCAACAGCGCGTCTTGCCAAACCAAGCGCGGATAATGAGAGTTCTTCGACATCGACGGAATAGTCTCTGCCCTCTGCTCCATCTCACTGGCAATGTCCCTCGATATGCGTGATATGCTGGACATTTTCAGGTCAAAGACGGCCCCAGCAAAATGCCCAGGCGCTGTTATTCTTCTCCTCTGTGGCACCTAAAGTGTGAACGTAACATAAAGTGGCCAGCTCTCTGACCAATCAGAGAGCTCCTTACATCCCACAGTGTGGTTTATTTGCATTGCAGCATGATTTTTAAAATGAAGTTGCTAATCCAGATGCTAATCCAAATGTTAATTAATGAGCTAATCTGTTAGTGAACAGAAAAGGAAAATGGATTTTAAAATGAGGAGTGGAAATGCCATTTTAAATTGTGTTTAAAAAAAAACATTTTGAAACTCATTGTTTTAATGTGGAATCTGAAAATGAATTTATTTATTCTTGAATTCATTATTTATGCAGAGAATTATTTATTTCAGTGTGCGTGGCTCTTGTGGTCTTCCATACTTTATTTCTATTTTATTTTTAACTGCTTTGATTTTCTTTACCTTTCAAAAATGTAACTTGACCTGGAGAGCTCTGCACAAGAATTCCAGCGTGCATGGACTCCTGGTCCTGTACGCAAATGGTAAATAAAAATCTTGAATGCTGAGCCAAACACCAACAAGATTGTTTTTCTCACTCCCCCAATTTCTCTGCACTGTTTTATATATCATGTTTGAGTTTGTGTGGTATTTTATCTATCAAATTCCTGAGGCATACTGATGGGTGAAGTGAAACACACACACAGTGTTTGGAGCTGGAATAGCACAAGTTGAGACAGGATCACACTGAAAACCCTTTGGGTGTGGAGTGAATGTGCATTTCTGCACTCTTTGAAGAAACTGCAAGTTACAGCCACTGCAGCAGATTTACATCACGTGGCTTCACAGGACGTAGTCTGGACCTCAGCGCTGAGGAGAAGTTCAACCAGCTCTGCTTGCAGACCGGCATCCTTCCTGAAAATATTGTTCATCTTCCTAAAACCGGTACTTTTACATTGGTGCTGAAGTTCTACATAAAAACAGCCTGAAATATAAATTGATGTTACCTCACACTTTCCATGTTTCCTTCTACAGAGGAGTGTCCGCTTGAGTGTTTTGTCTGATCTGTTGTTGATCGTCTCACCGACACTGCATAAAGATCTGACACCATCTGTTATGGAAATGTGACTGAGCAACATCTGTAGCAGTTTTTAACAATAAAAATGCAAAAATCTAGAATGTTTTTCTTCATTATTCATCCTTTAAATGAAATAAACTGAAGAACATCCATAACAACACGATTCACACGAGTATTTCACGATTCTCCACAGCTGTGATCACCATTTTCTTTGTGTATTTGTAATAGTTTTAACAATTTCTAGTGTTGGACGGCTAAAAGATGAATAAATAATCATCAGATGGACCCATTATGAAAATAGTATTTGCTTCATCTGACAGAGTTACCCTCAGCTCAAATAACATTAAAATGCTGTTTACAGTCTAAGTGCCTCGTTCAGTGAATTTCACACACAAAACATTCATACTTTCATACCTGAATGTGTCCATACAAGTGTAGGACTGTCTCAGAAATGATCATTTGACTGTTAGATGGTTTTCCCTCCATAAGCCTGGTTATGCTGGAGCTTTCTTCCTGTTAAAGGGAGTTTTTCCTTCCCACTCTTGCCAAAGAGCTCACAGGGGGTCATATGATAGTTGGAGTTTCCTCTGTTTCCTCGGTGTTGTTGTTCAGTCTTTACCTTACAATATAAAGCACCTTGAGAAGACTGCTGTTTTGATTTGGTGCTATATAAGTAACATTGAATTGAAATTCTTTTTTCTTTTTTCTTTATTTGCTAGTTTACATGAGCCAGCGTGTCTCAGGGAAACAATATTTAGACCTTTGTTATTTGAAGCCAAGCCTCGCTTATTATTTAGTTATTATTCTCCCTCTCTTAACCACGCTCTCTTACAGTATCCTCACCATTTACCCATCTTACCACGAGGTAAGCATGATTCTTTATCTGGACCAATAAGAGTGTGTGACAGTGTGCAGGTTACAGATGGTGAACACTGATTTTCACTCATTTGGATTCATTAACATGCATCAAGGAAAGAACAAAACAGGTTGGAGCACATTTTATAAATCTGACAATAATTTTCATGTTGCAGTTATTTGCTGCAGCCCGATGTCCCCAGCAGGTCCCTGAGGTCCTCTGATCAGGGCTTACTTGCTGTAAAACAGACTAAGATGAGAACTAATGGTGACAGAGCTTTTGCCACTGTGGCCCCGACACTGTGGACTCTCTCCCTGAGATATTAAGAACTGTGGACTCGGTTGTGTTTTTTAAAAAAAACAACTCAAAACTCACCTTTTTAAACTGTTTTTGGTTCAATTTCTCCCTGTTTTATATTGTCTGTTTTACCTTTTATTATTTGTTATCTCATGTGCAGCACTTTGTGATTCTGTCTAGAAAGGTGCTACATAAATACAATTATTTATTTGTTTGTTGTTTTTTGTTGCACACATTAAAACATGTCTTTGCACATAGTAGTAAATGATGCCCAAGGAGTCTTCTAATATTCAATTCAATTCAATTTTATTTATATAGCGCCAAATCACAACATAAGTCGCCTCAAGGCGCTTCATACACTGAACAAAAATATAAACGCAACACCTTTGTTACTGCTCCCATTCCCCATGGGATGGACGTAGAGACCTAAAATTCATCCCAGATACACAATATAACCATCCCTCCCAAACAGTGGTCACAAATCAGTCCAAATGTGTGGTAGTGGGCACATCTGCCATATTGAGATAATCCATCCCACCTCACAGGCGTGCCACATCAGGATGCTGATCTGACATCATGAGTAGTGCACAGGTGTACCTCAGACTGCCCACAACAAAAGGCCACCCTGGAATGTGCAGTTTTTTGCGCTATTGGGGGTCTGGGGACCCAGAACCGGTCAGTATCTGGTGTGACCACCATTTGCCTCATGCAGTGCAACACATCGTCGCATGGAGTCTATCAGATTGTCAATTGTGGCCTGTGGAATGTTGGTCCACTCCACTTCAATGGCTGTGCGAGGTTGTTGGATATTCGTGGGAACTGGTACACGCTGTCGTATACGCCGGTCAAGCACATCCCGAACATGCTCAATGGGTGACATGTCCGGTGAGTATGCTGGCCATGCAAGAACTGGGACATTCTCAGCTGCCATCTGCCCTGAACAATGTGAACCATGATTCATCCGTGAAGCGCACACCTCTCCAACGTGCCAGACGCCATCGAATGTGAGCATTTGCCCACACAAGTCTGTTACGGCGACGAGCTGGAGTCAGGTCAAGACCCCGATGAGGACGACGGGCATGCAGTTGAGCGTCCCTGAGACGGTTTCTGACAGTTTGTGCAGAAATTGTTTGGTTGTGCAAACCAATTGTTCCAGCAGCTGTCTGGGTGGCTGGTCTCAGACGATCTTGGAGGTGAACCTGCTGGATGTGGAGGTCCTGGGCTGGTGTGGTTACACGAGGTCTGCGGTGGTGAGGCCGGTTGGATGTGCTGCCATATTCTCTGAAACGCCTGTGGAGACGGCTTATGGTTGAGAAATGAACATTCAATGCACGGGCGACAGATCTGGTTGACATTCCTGCTGTCAGCATGCCAATTGCACGCTCCCTCATTGCTTGTGGCATCTGTGGCATTTTGCTGTGAGACAAAACTGCACATTCCAGGGTGGCCTTTTGTTGTGGGCAGTCTGAGGTACACCTGTGCACTACTCATGATGTCAGATCAGCATCCTGATGTGGCACACCTGTGAGGTGGGATGGATTATCTCAATATAGCAGATGTGCCCACTACCACACATTTGGACTGATTTGTGACCACTGTTTGGGAGGGATGGTTATATTGTGTATCTGGAATGAATTTTAGGTCTCTACGTCCATCCCATGGGGAATGGGAGCAGTAACAAAGGTGTTGCGTTTATATTTTTGTTGAGTGTAGATACAGAGAAAAACCCAACAATCATATGACCCCCTATGAGCAGCACTTTGGCAACAGTGGGAAGGAAAAACTCCCTTTTAACAGGAAGAAACCTCCGGCAGAACCAGGCTCAGGGAGGGGCGGGGCCATCTGCTGTGATTGGTTGGGGTGAGAGAAGGAAGACAGGATAAAGACATGCTGTGGAAGAGAGACAGAGATTAATAACAGATATGATTCAATGCAGAGAGGTCTGTTAACACATAGTGAGTGAGAAAGGTGACTGGAAAGGAAAAACTCATTGCATCATGGGAATCCCCCGGCAGCCTACATCTATTGCAGCATAACTAAGGGAGGATTCAGGGTCACCTGGTCCAGCCCTAACTATATGCTTTAGAAAAAAGGAAAGTTTGAAGCCTAATCTTGAAAGTAGAGATAGTGTCTGTCTCCCGAATCGAAACTGGAAGCTGGTTCCACAGAAGAGGGGCCTGAAAACTGAAGGCTCTGCCTCCCATTCTACTTTTAAATACTCTAGGAACAACAAGTAGGCCTGCAGAGCGAGAGCGAAGTGCTCTAATAGGGTGATATGGTACTACAAGGTCATTAAGATAAGATGGGGCCTGATTATTTAAGACCTTGTATGTGAGGAGCAGGATTTTGAATTCAATTCTGGATTTAACAGGAAGCCAAAACAGGAGAAATCTGCTCTCTCTTTCTAGTCCCTGTCAGGACTCTTGCTGCAGCATTTTGGATCAGCTGAAGGCTTTTCAGGGAGTTTTTTGGACTTCCTGATAATAATGAATTACAGTCGTCCAGCCTGGAAGTAATAAATGCATGAACTAGTTTTTCAGCGTCACTCTGAGACAGGATATTTCTAACTTTAGAGATGTTGCACAAATGGAAGAAAGCAGTCTTACATATTTGTTTAATATGTGCGTTGAAGGACATGTCCTGGTCAAAAATGACTCCAAGGTTCCTCACAGCGTTACTGGAGGCCAAGGTAATGCCATCCAGAGTAAGAATCTGCTTAGATACCATATTTCTAAGATTTTCAGGGCCGAGTACAATAACCTCAGTTTGATCTGAATTAAGAAGCAGAAAGTTAGCGGCCATCCAGGTCTTTATGTCTTTAAGACATTCCTGCAGTTTAACTCATTGGTGTGTGTCATCTGGCTTCATGGACAGATAGAGCTGGGTGTCATCTGCATAGTATCTGCCACAGGTTTTTATGACTCCACTTACATTAGAAAAATAATGTGATGGATAAAAGGGAAAACAGGAAAAGAAGACAGGCATGTGGATATTCTATATATTCTGTAAATGTAATAAACTTCATTTCACTTCTCAAATATCACTGTGTGTGTCTCCTATATAATATATTTAACTGACACTTTTTTATTGTAACAACCAACGATTTATACAGGAAACTAATGACTATTAACTAGGTTGCCCAAACTTTTGAATCCACTGTATGTCATGAGGACAAACAGAATTATAAAAGCCATGTATACAGAGCCTAAATTACCTTTAGGCTCTGTGTACATGGCTTTAATAGAAGATTAACTGGGATTAGCTGGCAGAGGTTTGGAGCCAAATCCATGACAAACAACTCTAATAAGATGAAGTGTGATTTCATTCACACCAAAAACAATTGAATAGTAACAAAGTGTTTAACAAAAAACCCAAAAGACTTCAATGGAGAAACACAAGAGATCACAGTTTGACCAATGAACCATAAAGGAATAAAAATAAAAGCTTCAAAAACTACAAATCAAATCCACTGATTAAGAACACAAAGTGAACACAAAACCCTCAGAGATTGACAGCAGCAAACTAAGTGATCATCACTGCACAAAGACATGGAAAAACTGAAAAGTCACAGCCTGAGATTTTGTGAAAAAATCTTCCTATGACTGAGTTTGCTGGCATTAAGCCTGAGCTGAGCTAGCACTGCTTAGGTTCTTGTGGTTTATTACCTTGAAGAGCTTTATTTCTTTTATTTGACTTATTTTGTTTGTTTTATTATTAAAGATATTTAAAAGCATGGTGGATGGACAGTGCCTTTCCTGTTTCAAGACAAGCTCAGTTGTCCATTTCTAACCCAACCCAAGCTACAGCCATGCATCAGCACTAACAACAGTTTTGTTTGTTATTTTAGTTTATTTAGTCAGTGCGCCCCAGGGCAGCTGTGGCTACAATGTAGCTGTCATCACCAGTGTGTGGATGGCTGGATGACTGGATGTAGTGTAAAGCGCT